GTGGTCAACATAGAAAAATCAGTTAAGAAAAGCATCCATTTCATGTATTCACAGTAAGTTCTGTACATAGTCCTTTATCCACAGTAGAGAAGACTGGCAATAGTGAAGTGGTCAGTGGCAGAACCCTACTCCTAGATAAAACAGGATGCTGACATCCGTGACGCCATGCACTTTTCCCAAGTCCCGTCCCAGGACATCATGTAGTGTATCAGCCCATTTACAGGAAGTTCCACAAAGGTGAAACTGAAGTGAGCACAAAGCAAGCAGGTGATTGCTTGGGGCCAGGAGTTGGAGAGGAGTTAATAACAGAGGCAGAGACTCCTCAGGAAGAGATTGAAACCATTCTCTATCTGGAATGTGCCTGTGATTACACAACTCTACCTTTTTCCAAAGTCACCAACTTAAAACACTTCAAAACTGCTGTAGTTTACAGAAAATCAGACAACATTGATTGAAACAAAAGAGACCCACATGCAAAAAAATTTTAAAGCATAATCTAGGCTCTAGAGTTCCAAAACCTCAAGCCAGAGTTGAGGAACACATTAGAGATGAATTTTGAAGGTCTCAGAAACAAAGAATCACATTGAAATCACTGTAGGTATTCAAACTGCAGTCTCGGCTGGTGTGGATCACCAGGGATTATAAAAATATTGACGTAAATCCACTTCCCATTTTTTGCTATCTTGTATAAACCCGGGTAGCTAGAAAAGCTGACAAGGCTACTTGGTAAGGGGTAAAAGATGTGGCCAAGTCTGAGAAGTTATTAACAGGTGATAGGCCAGAGAGACTGCAGTGAAAAGCGGAAAGCCGTGTGAAAATCATAGTGTCATCATCGAACTGATCTGTCTACAGTGAAGGAAGCCGAGCGATGGAAACTTGACTTGGCAAAGGAGGATCCTCCCAGCCTCTTCCTTCCTCTAGTCTCTGTGTTGCAGACCTGGCTGTTAACCCAGAAGCAACAACAGAACGCAGCGTGGCCCTGGTCAGATATTTTGATTTAGTCAAGTAGGAAACATCGCCAGCACTGGAGAATAGGGAAAGGTACCATCCCGGATGGAGAACTCTCTGGGAATCTCAAAGTGCCCTGACATGATGTAGAGAATTAAGGAAAACCCAGAGTGTACAAGATGGGGGACAACATGCTTGAATTGTGGGGATAGATGGATGATGTCTTCAAAGAGATTGCATTGAAAAGTTCGTATCAGAGGCTGGACAGCTGGCTTGGTGGAATGGTGGTTAAGGGGACATGTTGCTCTTGCAGAAGACCTGGATTTTGGTTCCCAGAACCGGCATGGCAGCTCACAACCACCTGTAACTCATTTCAGGGGACTCCAACCAAGGGCCCCTCTGATTTCTTCAGGCACAAGGCGGGAATATGGTACAGGCAAAACACACTCATACCCATGGAAATAAATAAATAAATGAGGAGACAAATTCGTATTGGTAGAACACAGGCTGAGAAAAGTGCAGTGGAGAAGAGGTAGGCTTTGGAAGGGTGAGAGGTAGGTAAGCCAGAGCTCAAAGATCCATATAGAGTCTTTCAAGCTGTGGTAGAAAGCAGCTACATTCCACAGACCCATACTGGCCAACAGTGCTGACAGAAAGCCAAGGGAGCCCCTTTCTCCTAGGCCCGGGTTTCTTCAAAAGTGGAACTTGCTGTCTTTGTATAAGTTAAACAATCAGTGAAAACTAAAGACTGATTCTGCATGTTTAACAGGGCCCTTTGGAGCTTTATGTTAATGCCACTGAAGATTGTATACACTTGAAGTTCATTCAGAAAAGCCCTGGTGCTAGAAATTAGGGACATGTAAAAGTACAAATTTTTCCCTTCACCAGAGAGTAGAAGGACAGGGATCTGTTAAAAGCGAGGACGTGGAGCTATGCAAGGCTGTGTGTCCTCAGGCAAGGCCTCACTGAGCCTTCATTTTCTTATCTCTAAAATAGATGATGATGATGATGATGATGATGATGATGATGATGATGATGATAACAGAGGTCCATTATCTGTTATCTGCAATTCTGAATTCAAAGAGCTCTAAAAACCAAGCTTTGTTCTCTTTCCTTTTGATTTTCTAAGTCCGGGGCACAGTCATCTGTTGGTTAAATCCAACCCAAACTAGGAGCTTGGGAAGCCGTTCCCTGGGCAGCGTGAACATTGATGGGTTCTGCAGAAAGTGTTGACACTGGTCAGAGTGTGCAGGCCTCATTCCTTGTGGCCGGTGTTCAGGATAAACACTTCGTGAACTTTCTTCCCTCTGTAGTTCCTAAACAATTCCGGATACTGAATCCTCTGGCCCCAGGGGTTCCGATAAGGGACAGGGCACCTGTAATCCCTTCCTCATAGTTGTGAGAGAAGGTTCACTTTCTAATGACAGCGCTCATTATTTAAAGTCAGAGGCTGGATTGCCCACCCACCTCCCTGAGGATGAATACGCATCTGTGCTGGATGAAGTCTCCACTTCTTCCTTTCATTTTGGGAAACAATTGTTTCCTACATCCCAGGTGGCCCTCCAACTCACTGTGTCGTCAAGGATGACATCCAGTTTCTGTGGTGCTAGGGTATTAAACCAGGCAAACACTGTGTCAGCTGGCGTGTCTCCCACCCCCTAAACTTTTTCTTAGTACCTTTTTTGGTCATTTTAGTCTTTGCAGCTCTGTTTCTAATATATTAATTACTAGAGTGGATTGTCACCCTTAGGGACCTGTCCTGTTCTGAACATTTCTTCTTCTTTTTTCTTACAATCCTTCCCTTCTTGGTTACCTTCAGCTGTTAGCCGACAGACCAATCTTTTAGTCATGTGTCCTAAGGCTCCGTTTGTTTTCTGAATTTCGTAGAAGGATTATGTAAAATATTTTTTGCAACTAAAACACAAATAGGTATGCTGATTCCTTTGGAGTTTTCCATGGAAGTGAGTTCTTAATATGCCCTAAAATGATGTTTCTCTAAAGTCATCATTTAAGACCACAAAAGCAGGAGCTGGAGAGAGAGCTCAATGGTTAAGATTTCTTCCAGAGAACCCAGGTTCAATTCCCAGCTCACAATTGTCTGTAACTTGAGTTTCCAGGGACTTCAACACCCTTACACAGACATACATAGGTAAACACCAATGCACATGAAATAACAGTAAATACGATTAAGAACACAAGGTCAAAAACTATTCATCTACATTTCATTCAGTATTTTCTAAAAAGAAACTTATTTCTGCGCTTGATTTTGGGCCTGCTTCCCTTTCTTCAGGCTATAGAAAACCTTTTGACTGTGTTTAATCCTTGGCCTCTGGACTCGGAGGGCTGATTTTGCAATGCCCTGCTAACACTAGGAAACTTTAACTGAAGGTTTCATACCCTGAACTACTTGGAAGAAAATGAAGTATTACTTAAATAAATATCCTATTTCAAAAGGCAGTGATAAAGCCAGTTTAAATGTGATTTTTTTTCCCCCTGTTTTTGGTATGTGTTATCCTTTAGTCATATTTGTGGTGGGTCATATCAAAAAATGGGTGTCTTTGCCATCCTGGCTCCTGTTCTGTCCTTTCTCCCAGGGAGGAGGATGCTGCCAGCACAGGCCTGCCACCTTGGGTGTTTACCCTCTGTTTGGATCTGGGTTACTAGGTGCCCACTCTTGGCTGGGAATTCTAGTGCTTGGGTGGTTTTACCTCAGCATCGGAGTGAGTAGGCATGCCACGATGAGGCACTGACCCCGGGAGCTGGGGTGACAAGGTTTAACGTTAACCCTGATTCAGAGGTAGCAAGAGGAGGCGATGCAGGATGGGACTTTGTCCCCTGACGTCTTCGGCATTTTTAACCACATTTTCCAGTTCTGAGCCAGCTCAGCACCAGGAAATGTACTGAAGGAAACTGAGCAGGAAGGAAACATTGACGCACTCGTCACTGGATCAATCTGCATGGCTGCCATCAGCTCCCTCCGGAGCCGTGACTTAGCTGCTTCCTATTAGGGTGGCCATTGGGTGAGAGGACCAAATGCTGGTTTCTCTGTGTGGTCTCCCTCACTGTGGACTCAGGGGGAGCTCTTGTATAGCAGTGCTTTCGCTATGGATCTCAGACCAAATCTCTTTCAATATTGCCAGACACCCCATCTTAAAAACAAACTCCGTAAACTATTTCCTGTGAATCTCTTATAAGGACAAATTATAGTCTGCCAACCATAAAGCTTGAAACATTCTTTCCTGTTTATTTCAGGTAACCTATGAATTTGGTTCATGGTGTTATTGTGTTTAATATTATTTTTATCTTAGATTTCATTACAATGTTTTAACCATAGTCTCCCATCCCCAATTCCAGATCTACCCTTTCCTCCCTACCTACCCAAATTCCTAATGTCCTTCTCCCTCCATTTCTAACGCATGGAGTCCAGTGTGAACAGCCCAAATACTATGAAGGGCAGAGCCTACTCTGGAGTTTGGCCCACCTACCAGAGGCCACACCCTTAAAGAAAGCTGACTCTCCCCCTCCCAGAAGCTATCAGTTGCCAATACCTCGGGCCTTTTGAAAAAGTCATATTTATAAACCCCTGTGAACTTCAATTTCCTCAACCCAAAGATGGGGCGGGGGAGGTCACGCTTGTGGTACAAGCGTTTATTGCCAGCCCTTTGGAGGCAGAGACAGGAAGATCTCTGTGAGTTCCAAGATAACCAGCCAGTGCTATATAATGAAACCTTGTTTAAAGAAAGGGAGAAAAAAATACCCGGAGTCGGGGAGACACAGAGAGAGAGAGACCTAGCTAAGGAAATAATAGTATAAATACATGGAAACAAAATTTTATTTACAGTAGCAAAAATGATCAGTTTAATTATTGATATTGATCAAATATAGCTTCCTGTTACAGCGTTGCCACATGCCACACTTGCAGTAGGCAGAGCTTAGCACACGCCTGGAAAGGCTTTCATGCGTGGCCGTGGTTTGCATGTTCTGATCTGGAGTAACATCTCACACTGGTTCTCTCTGCCTCCTGCCTGTGGGCCCCTCTTCTCTCTAAGCAGTATTCCACGGAACTGAAGAAGCTGTACTGCCAAATCGCAAAGACGTGCCCCATCCAGATCAAGGTGATGACCCCGCCCCCACAGGGTGCTGTCATTCGCGCCATGCCTGTCTACAAGAAAGCCGAGCATGTCACTGAGGTCGTGAAGCGGTGCCCGAACCATGAGCTGAGCCGCGAGTTCAATGAGGGTAAGAACAGTGGGGTTCTGGGCTTCTGGGGTCCTGCTGCTGTCCAACCCAGCTCCTTGATGCTAAAGATGCTGGTTCCGATTCCAGACTCAGAATACTGATACATACATTTGTGACTTTCCCAGTAACTGAACTACTTATTAATTTATTTTTTTCCAAATGAGAACACGTGGACAGAATAGCATGATGGTAGTTGTGGCTCTGGTGTCCTTTGACTTGGGTGCCTTTCCCAGAGTGATATTCAAGTTTAGAGAAGTCGAAGGCAGGGGAAACTAGAAGAAGGAGCATAAAAGAACTGATCTAATGAGCAAATGAAAAAGCAGAGGAAGAGAGAAGAATAAAAACTGAGAAGGAGAACAATGGGTAAGAGGAATAAATAAAAGATACAGAGCAAATGGATAGTGGGAAGAAAGACAGGTATTCAGGAAGGATCTTAGGGACCCCCTTTAAGTTCTGTGCCCATGTGTAATCTATACCCATCTTCTGAGCCCGAAATCCAACAGCAGTGTTATAGGAGAGGTGAGTGCTCCCAAGGGGTCACACAGCTCTGACATTGTAGTTCTGTGGAGGGGAAGGAAAGCAAAGACTACCAGAACCAGAAAGGAACCCTCAGGAGGTGCAGGAAGGGTTTCACAGAAAACACTGCGAGTGTAAATGTGAGGAGGTAGTTGGCATGAATAAATATAGGGCACAGAAGAGATTGTGTTTATGGAAGAAGAAAGAGGTCGGGTAAAGATTTAGAAGGAGAAAATACAGCCAAATATCCCTGACTGATTTTTATACAATAATTTCTAGTTTTGTCTACGTGGCTGCATTATCCATCTCTTTGTGTCTTGCTTTATGCTTAACAATATGCTATAAAAGATATCCTGCACATGCAGGTTTCATCCTCAGTTTGCCCAAATGTCTGTGTTCCATCAAAATGACACTATTTTAGAGCTCTCCATCATTTTAACATAATTTTGTTTTAATGAAAATAACCAGTGCTGCAGAGAATATGTTGATATTCTTAGCTTTTTTCTTTTATTGAATAGTTTTCACAGACTGGAACTTCATACCCCAAGGGTAAAGATGGTTTTATGGTCCCTAAGTCTCAGAACACTGTCTTTTGAAACGTTGCCAAACATCACAGTTTTATAACGTTAGTTGGGCTCTTTGTAAAACCTGCTCCCTTGTCTCCAACCTGGGCCTCTTTCAACACAGTAGAGCCAGAAAGTTTCTTATCTTTATAAGTAAAGCCAGGTCTAAAGATGGTTAGGAGAAAAAAAAATAAAGATCGACAGTGCTCACCACCTTCCAGTGTTCTTGTTTCCAGCAGTGGGGCTTGAACCCAGGGCCTTGCATATGGTAGGCATGTGTTCCTTCACTGAGTTATATCCTCAGCTCATTTCTTCTACTTCTCATTTAGTATTTTTTGCCTGTCAAAGTCTTAGGCTGTACTTTCTCGTTTGTTTTGTTTGTTTTCCATTTCCCAAGGAAACTAGGAACATTCTACGCGATTGGAGGAAGTCAGAGATGTGGCAGAGAGTCCTAGGAAAGCTCAGACAGTTAACCTTAAGTTGTGGAACATGGAACCATCCCCTAGACATCGATCATCATAAAGTTCATTGTGTTGGTGTGAAGTGCTAGGTGTCATCCATGTTAGACAGCTGGCCACAGGTCTGCCCCTTTCCTGAGTTTCCTTTATGTGTGTTTTGACACAGAGGTGTCCTTGGCCACCACCATCTTACTTTCCATGCTGCTCCATTTCATCGTCTTTATTATCAGGGTATGTAAACTAACTGTTTCGTCTTTTTCTGACTTACAGGACAGATTGCCCCTCCTAGTCATTTGATTCGAGTAGAAGGGAACAGCCACGCCCAGTACGTAGAAGATCCTATCACAGGAAGGCAGAGTGTGCTGGTCCCTTACGAGCCACCCCAGGTAAACAAGCAAACGAGGCGGGCAGACCTGCAGCTGGGCCAGCAGGCCAGAAGGAATCATACACATTTGGCAACATGCGGCATCTAATGTTTATCACTGTGTTCACCTTTGCTACCAAATACTTCCAGAACGTTCTTTTGATGTCTCTTGTTCCCATGTCACCCCTTTAAAAATCCTAAACATGTGGCTGGAGAGATGGCTCAGCCGTTAAGAGGACTTGCCGCTTTTCCAAAGGACCCTGGCTGGTTCCGTTTCTATCCCCTTCCCCATCAAACACATAGTTCCTCACATCTGCCTGCAACTCTGGTTCCAGAGGATCGAATGTCTTCTCTGGCTGGTGGGGGCACCAGACACACACGGTGCACATACATCATGCAGACAACATGCATAAAATAAAAAAATGAATCAATCTCTTTAAAATTGTGAGTGTGCACTGAATTTCCTCAGTAATGGGGCTCTGCCCATGCTGCTCACCTCACAGCTTGGAGGTTAGTTAGTTTTATCCGAAGCCCACTCTTAACTAGATGACAGGGAATTGATAGTGGGTGTAAACAAATGCTAGATGTATTTTATTTTATAGTAGATTGTAAATGGGTGAAGCTACAACACATGGTTTAGCTGAAGTTTCCCTGAACAGATGGTACATTTGCAAATGTGTTCTATGAAGCAGAATTGAGTGGTGGGAAGTACACAGTAGTCAGAAGACCACAGGACTAACAAAGCCAGTCTGCTGAGGTTGACTAGCAAGTTCTGAGCTCTTGGGCATGTAACGCCCATGCTACGTGACTCTGTGGGCTTGCCTTGCCTTATGCATAGTTGAACGATTTAGATGACTTAATTCTGAGGGTGTTTTAGCTCTAGGATATTCTTCATGAAGATGTACATTCAAACCTATGTAATATTGAGTTGACTTCGAAAGGAAAATACCCTTTGGAGCATTGCTGCTATTTTGGAGCATTTTTTAAAAAAAAAAAAAAAAAAAAAAAGCTCTCCTTTCCCAGAGATATCTGTGTAGTACAGACTGAAGTGAGTGATTTGAATCAGCTTGCAAAAGAGCAAGGTCCGTCTTGGCCATGTTGTTCCAATGTTGGGCACATGAGTGTGAAGGTCTCTTGGAAGCAAGACAAAGTGGGGCTCTCCAGTGGGTGGTACGATGCCCTTGCCTAGAAGGAAAGATGCCACGAGAAGCAGAGTTCTTTCCCAAGAGGGCCGAGCCCAGAGGCAAAAGCGTCAGCTCACACCCTCCTCGGCCCAGGCTGCATCACATGTGGACACCTATGTCTCTTTTTCTCCTGCTCAGGTTGGCACTGAATTCACAACAGTCCTGTACAATTTCATGTGCAACAGCAGCTGTGTCGGAGGAATGAACCGCCGTCCGATTTTAATCATTGTTACTTTGGAAACCAGAGAGTGAGTGGCATGTGCGGAGCGGCAGGCTCCTAAGCAGGCATAGGCGGACGATGAAGCAGAATCCTGTGTTCTTCCACACTCCTTTTGCGTGCACAGTGGAGAAGAACCCCAGATCTGGCACTTTGTGCTATAAACCCACTGTGAACCCCCAAAAGATCTGAGAAAGTGGAGGCAGAGGAGGGTGGGTCAGGAAGGGAGGAAAGGAGCCAAGGGGGGCATGCAAGTCGCTTCAGACCTGAATTCTTGACATTTGACCGGAATGGTTTCTGATAGACAGTATTTGTTTTCCTGTGACCCCCCAAGGCATTTACCAGTTTCCTTGAGAAGTCTGAGCTGCCTCAGGGGATTTTATCCAGGGACATCCCCAGGCTTAACTCAAGTTTCCTTCAAAATATGAAGCTAAATGCAGCTGTTCAGCTAATGGCTCCTCGAGCCATTCTTTGTGGAACAAATGGAATGTTCTTCATTCACGTGGCTTGTGGCGCGCACGCAGCTCTGTGTTCTGCCAGGTGTTTCTGGGGGCTTGCTTTGAGCAGGCATGCTGAAGGGTGGCGAGGGGACCAGCTGAAGCAGGCATGCTGAAGGGTGGCGAGGGGACCCGTATGACGGCCAGCATCAGGAGAAAGATAGTGGGAGAACTCCAGGGGGCTTGGTCACCTGCCACTTTAACCTGGTTTTTTTTTTTTTTTTTTTTTTCTTCTCTGATTTCTAGTGGGCAAGTCCTGGGCCGACGGTGCTTTGAGGCCCGGATCTGTGCTTGCCCTGGAAGAGACAGGAAGGCCGACGAAGACAGCATCCGAAAGCAGCAGGTGTCGGACAGCGCAAAGAACGGTGATGGTACGAAGCGCCGTAAGTAGATGTAGTGGCCAGATGGGGCGGGGCCCAGGCTTCTCCAGATGTAGGGCTCTGCAGATAATGTTGGGAAGGCTGTGGGAGGAAAACGGTTGAGGTTTAGCGATGAGTGTGAGCTGAGGACTCAGAGAACGTAGCAGTGTGGCTAGTACAATTGGAGGACGTGTGCTGGACCCCAGGGCACACTGCTGCTTGCTTAAGCTACAGTCATTGGTAGGAGATCTTAGTATGGGATTACTCAGAATCTGATTTCCACGCCCATAGCATCAACGACACCTGGAAACTGGGCATATTCTCAGGCTCTGCACTTGCTGTTCCTGATGTCCCAGCAATCTGTGTTGTTGTTTTTTTTTATAAGCCCTCCACCTGGATCGAATGTGACCTAAAGCTGCAGGTGTCTATTTATCTCTCAGCTCTTAAGCATGGGGCTAAAGTGGTACCTGTTCCCCTCAGGGCTCTAAGGAACAGTGCCATTTGAGAATATATTTTCTTAGGGATGTGCAGATGAGGTCGCACCGAGCCTAGACTTCATGTGTTGACCAGAATGAGGCCTCAGCTACCTTATCATTTGTTATTAAACTTTAATTAATTCTATCTTTAAAAAAAAAGCTGGGATATGTAAGAAACCTGTAGAACAAATTTTTGAAAGCATAAATGCTCCCATTGGAAGGGGTTCATGTGACCTGTGGTGTACGCCTCCACTTCAGTCACCACCACAGAGTCCTGAAGGCCAGCCGACGTCTGCAAACTTGTTCTCCATGTGCTGCTGACTTAGAGAGAAATATTCTTCTAGAAAGCATGTGGCATAAACACAAGCCCAATGGCAGCTCAACAAGTTATTTGGGGTTTTTTTGAAGAAAAGATTCTACTCTGTGCCCCACCTACACCTGGAAATCTCAATGTATACCAGGCTGGCTCACATCAACTATCCCTCTTCAGTAGTCTGTGTTCTGGAATTCCAGGCATAAACGGCCATGCCTACTCTTCAACAGGTATTTTGAAGTATATCACAGTACCTTCTTTTATGAGAAGGGTTTACTCTTACTATCTATTAATATTCAGATGAATTAAAAGTTGAATTATTCCTTATAGGAGAATCTATCACCACTGACTTCCAAGTGTTGGATGTGATGTCTTTTCCTGCTAGATTCTGTCTCCCTGATAATTCCTCAAATAACTCAAATGTAATATATATAAATATATATCCCTATTCTAACTTCACTCTTGTGCCTGCAGCAAGCATAGAGCAGTAGTCCAGCCTATCTCAGGTGCTCTAATTACCAACAATTTGGTGGCTTCTAGGAAGAACAAAATATCTGAATTTTGGCGGAAAGATCATTTTCACACCCTGGATCCTAATTGATTAGAGATTCTAATTTTAAAACCTTAGTGATTTATCACTTGCTAATTCCCCCTGTTTTACTATGACCAACACAGTTCCTGTACCATGTACTTAACTCTTTAGGAGATAAATGATCTGAAACATAAAAATTTTAAAAAGCAAAAAAAAAATGAAACCCACTTTTCCTTTTTCTTAACAGCCTTTCAGAGACACATGTAGGCAGCACATATTCTGAATGCCCCCCAGTGTCCTGGGTTTGCCTTTTCTGTCTTTTATCCACCTTCTTACTTGATGTAAAAGCAACTAGCATCAACTAGATGGGTACTTCGGACAAACGTCCCTCATCTTCCAGGTTGCTAGGTGGTTTCTACTTTGTATGTATTCTTAAATATCATATTCAGTGCATCACCACTTCAGTAACTTCTCTGGATGAAACTTGTATATTTCTTCCTCCAGCTTTTCGTCAGAATACGCATGGCATCCAGATGACTTCCATCAAGAAACGAAGATCCCCAGATGATGAACTGCTATACTTACCAGTGAGTCACCCTTGACTTTTCATGGTTGCTTCATCTAAGCTTCCTTGAATGTGCATTTATTAGATGGTACTTACCCAGTTACTCCGGGCAATGGGAAAGAACTCTCACTCAGCTGGAGCTAGAACAGTGAAGTGACTTAGATGATGTAGCTTGTGAACAACAGCCACGGATTTCTCCTAGTGCTGGTTGGATGTCTGAGATCAACTTGCCCTTGGTCAGGTTCTGGGGAGCAAGGGCCCTCTTCTGAGATGCCTCCATCTTCTACATATTCTCTTTCACAGGACAGAAAGCTAGATAGCTCTCAGAGCAATCATTTACAGGGACACTAATCACATCTACCAAGTCTCTACCTTCGCAACCTAGATAGCGTGCCAAGGGCCCCCTCTCCTGATAGCAGCACTTTGGAATTTAGGAGTTAAACATAGGCAATGTAGAGAAGGAAAACACATTCAATCACAGTGGCAGAAGGAGGTATAAAATAAAGCAAAAGTATTTTTTCTTTATAAACTATGAAGCCATCCTTTCCCTTAGAATATATTCATTTTCTGAGCTCCTCTACTCACTCTCCCATTCTATCAAAGCTAATAATAGGACATTGTCAATCAAATAATTAAAGTTAATTCACATGTCATTATTTGTGAGTGATAAAGTTTTTTAACATAGCATTGCCATTCCTGAATTTTTGTCATGAATAGTTCACAAAGTTGCTAATGCAGCCATTAGCTGTTCATCTTTCGGGGTGCACTAGGGTCATTTGATACATGTCTATCATATGGAACCATCAGCTCACAACAATCAGCATATCCGTGTCTCTAAACATTTATCATTTCTATGTGCAGGGAACATTTGTATTCTATTAGGGGGTATTATAAACAAAGCCAAACAAGGCAGAAGCCATAGTTACATATGAAGAGCCAGAAGGCTTGACCCAATTCTTAAGTAAGACTCTCCATCACTTCTACAGGGTCACTAATGAGGTCACTTAGTTAGGTTGTGGTTAGCATTCATTGAGTCCTTACTACCTTACGTCTTTGCCATCAACAGTGGCTATTGCTGTTCTTCTTAAACTTTGTAAAATCCTGGTGACCAGTTCAACCCTGATGCCATCCAAGCTGACACAGGGGTCAGTGCCAGGAGCAACGACTGATCTTCTGCCCTGGGATGGGAGCTTAAGTCGCTCAACAGGTTCGGGTGTGCATGCCTCCTTCTGAGCCTTCCCAGCACTGGCTCTCGGGGAAATCTGACAGGCAGTCAGCTGAGGTTCCCAGTCTTGCTTCTAAAGCTACAGACAGAAAGTGAATGCTTTAACTCTAGGTAAAACATAACACCTGCTATATACTATACTAATTGTCCATGGAAATCCCGGTGTGTACTCACGAAGGAGCTACTGTGATGAATTGTATCTAAAAGCAATGAAAAGTTAAACAAAATCAAGTTTATGGGATGAAAAAAGCAAACAAACAATGGGATTAATTCATGTTAAGTGACCAATAGGCTGGATCCCAAGCAATTGGAAGGAAGTATGAATTTTTATCTTCAGAACATTTACCTTGCCCTGGGCCCATAGCACTGACAAGGTAATGGAGTACTTAGTAGAGCAAGGCTGGGGAGACACAAGTGAAGGAGCAAACATGGAGAAGAAGGGTCCTAAAGTCAGGGTGGGCTTCTTGGAGAAGAGAGATGAGAGCAGGCTAATAACACCGATGAGAAACTGGGCGCATCTGTCGCTTGTGCTCAGGCCATTGACTGGATGAGGCAGATAAGCGCCTGAGGTCCAGAATGCCTTGGACACTCACTCCCAGCACACCACACACCAGGTAGGCTGCTGGCTTTATTTTAGCCCATCCTTCTCTTTATTTTAAAGCCTTGAGGAAGCATGCTTTATTCCTCCTGAAAAATGTTGTCACTCCAAAGACGGCTTATTTTTCATGGTCATCATGTTTCATAAAATTGTAGCTGAAACTGGATCATTGGTCTTTGGGGAAATGGCTGGTAGTACTGGCTTCCTATGCATCTCTGGCTCCAGCATTTCAATAGATCAGTTGATAGCCTTCTTTTATACATGTTCCTGTTTAAAGGTGTCTCATTTAATATATGTTGTTGGCTCATCCACACTGAACTCACAGTCAACAGCATGGTAACTCGCACCTGGACAAGGTTTTTCAAACATAAGCATATTCTCCATATGGCCTCTTTGCAATTAAGAATAGTGAGCAGCATTTTGGTTTGGAGCCCATTTTAAATAACCAAGTTATCAACAGAAAACATAAAACTGCGAACTGTATGGCCATAAGTAGACTGGGAAAAGAATGCTAGCTCACAGCACAGAAGCTGATACAGAAGTGTAGCCACTCCTTGTTCACCTTCAGCTGTGAACACACACAGATGACTCAACTCTTCTGTCCCAGTGTGTGCCTCGAACTGCCTGAAAAGGGCCAGCTCTATTGATATTCATGTCACAAACACGTATCAGGGAGTAGGTGCATTTACCAATACATCATCTACAAATAATGAGAACTGGCTGACTTTTGCCTGCTCTGCGGCTCTTCATCTTCCCCATGTTCTGGTTTTTACATAGGTGAGAGGTCGTGAGACTTATGAAATGTTGCTGAAGATCAAGGAGTCCCTGGAGCTCATGCAGTACCTTCCTCAGCACACGATCGAAACTTACAGGCAGCAGCAGCAGCAGCAGCACCAGCACTTACTTCAGAAACAGTGAGTGTGTCGCTGTCCTTTCAGAAGGCATGAGCAAGTGTGACTGTTGGCTGTTTTCATGAGCAGTAGGCTAATGGCAGAAGCTGAGATCTGAGATTGTAATCCATAAGAGTTTAGATGAGCTGGTTTGGCCTACTTTTTCAGTTTTCACCTTCTATGTGTCTTGTAACCTTTCTTCTGGCCGGAGTTTCGCTTGTGTTCTATTATGAGCCCCAAACTCATACTAACACTTACTAATGCTCTATTCTAACCACGAAGTCCATGTCAAAATCCTTCACTTGTCACAGAGGATTGGCTTGTGGATCGCCTAGAATATGTACAATCCCTTTTGGGGGACTGCTGTAGATCAAGAATACCAAGGAGGTTTTCCTACAAGGAGATGGCTTGTTTGCCTGCTGGGTTAACAAGGATTCTGAGACCTAGCCCTGTTCCTTGAAGGATGTCCCAATGCACGACAGAGTCATAGAAAGTTTCTATGTTTTAGTATCTTAGCTCTAGACTGTCTTCCAGCAATACATTTTCAAATAAATGGGAAAGATTTTGCAACCTTATTAGCATATGCATACAATCTATTCATATGTTAAGTTTTTACTTTTCCACTTAGAGCTTTGATGGTGTTAATTGTTTTATGACTAACAAGAGAATAGCTCTTCTGAAAGGATGGTAGATTGGCCAATCAGAGCTCTGTTTATACTTACTTTTGGGTACTCAAGTACAATCACTTGTGAGTTTAATACACTGTGTATTAGTACAGGTGTTGCCAGAGAGTCTCAGTAGGTAAATGTCTATACTACATTTTCAATCTACGTGAGAATTTTCAAGCACTCATCCTTTTAGGACAAAAAGAAATGGTATCAAAAACTACCTTGACTGAGAAAAGAGTTTTGTTTTGTTTTTAGTTACAGTGGTAATTTACTCTATTTATATTATTAGAATAAATTACAATAGTCATAAGGCTTGACCAAAGATGATCTTTAAATTAGAAATGCAAGTGATTGCTAAGGAGCATAGACTACGTCTCTAATAATCATAGGCAACTTCTGAGTGGTGAGCAATAGAAGATTCAGAAAAGTGCATGCCCCCTTTTCAACTGAAGCTGTTGAGCATTTAAGACCCTTTTTGACTAGAAAAAAAACCTATCACATCTCACATCAAAGTTGTACAATTTGTAACTATCATTTGTTCTGAAGGCCAACCATAAAATTCAATCAAGTGATTTCTTAGAGATACAGAGCCCTATAAAGGAAAATCAGAACACACAGAATTATCACTGGCAACCATATGGATTCTTTTGTATATCTGACATCAATGTATGTCAAGATATTCAAGAATGGTACCAATTTAGTTTGTTTCAAAACATAAAAAAAAAGGGATCAAAGGAATACACAGCTGAAACATAGTAGACTGCAAAGGGATTAGGAAGAGTTTCTTCCTCAGAGAAGTTGGTAATAATTACTTCCAGTTCATTCTTAAAACTTTACCTCAGCCAACACAACACCAGTAGGTTTAGGATTCCACTACATATTAATATGTTGTGTTGAAGTAGTTCTAAGACATCAGTTCTGGACACTGACTTTCTAGTTAATGGAAAAAGAACTGTCTAGCACAGGGACTGGTGAGCATTTTCATTTTCTTCTAAAGCATGAGAGTTAGGTATCTTGGTGCAGATGCTGTCTTGTAACTGATCATGTCTATGTGATATGTGAAGAACAGCAATAGATACTGTAAATGAATGAAGGTGGCTGTCACATGGTATCTTATAACGGAGTCTGAAACTTGTGTTTCATACCATTTTCTCACGTCATGATTGCTACCTCCTCCATGTCTAACAGTGTAAAGACCATTGGAAGCTCATGAGCCACACTCTAGAGCTTTCCAACCACTCTTGATAAATAGGTTGCTCATCGTCTTGTGTTCATTGAAGTGGAATTTCTGTTTGATGTCAGAAGGCTAATGTGTGTATTCTAGAGAGTTAAAACAAGGGTATAAAGCATGCCGGGCGTTGGTGGCATACACCTTTAATCCCAGCACTTGGGAGGCAGAGCCAGGCAGATCTCTGTGAGTTTGAGGCCAGCCTGGTCTACAGAGCGAGATCTAGGACAGGCACCAAAACTACACAGAGAAACCCTGTCTTGGAAAAAAAAAGAGAGAGAATAAAACATCCTAAAGTTGGCATCAGACAGCAGCCTTCAAACATAGATCCCTTTTGTCCTGTGACAAATGAAGCATTTCCCCTTAGATATCAAATGCTCATATTGATATAATCCCTTTATTAAAGCACACTATAATATGTGACTTCAAAATAGAGTTGAGAAAGATAGGGCTTCTGCCTTCCTGTAGTTTGCACCAAGTGGTGAATTCCTAACCAAAATACCTTTGTAATATTGAGAAAGCTTTGCAGTTATCAGGGTTGTATAAATTAATGGGATAAGTTAAGGAAGGTTCCATAGATTAGATGAGAAAGAAAAGAACCTACTCTCTTTGTTTTCTAGGCTTTATGAATGAAGTGGTTTGATTCTGGTCAGGGGCTCATGCTATCTATGTTTGCCTTGTGTAGATGAAAATACCGACCTTGTATCTCTGTGTGAGGATTTTTCCAAGGTAGCTGATGGATTGACTTGCATTGCTCCCAAGGGAATTTTTATTATCTATTTTTGATAGAGCAATCTATTTCATCTGAGAAGAAAATGCATGCTAAAGCTGTGCTGGCAAAAAATGGTCTAAAAGGTTTTCAGGACTTATTTTCCACTCTCTTCCAGGAGTAGCTAAAGATGAATAGTAAGGAATTAGGTGGATAGATCCCAGGGTGTTCATTTGAAACAGTCATGTGCATGGTTTGGAGTTGGTGTCTCACAGCTGTGATAGCTTGTGCATGAAGAGCTAACAGACTGCAAAATGAGATCTTTGCAAAATACAGAAGTTTGGTCCAATTACATGTTTATACCATTACATATCCATGTCTCCCTGATGATTGACACAAATCCATGTAAGTTCTCTGGTTGCCACAGTCTTCAGCTGAGATTGTTTTTCTCAGCTCTTTTATTTTCATGCAAATCTCCAAGAACAGAAGACAGGAATAAGTAGACAAAGAAAAACTGGAAATCTAATTTCCTGACAATCATTTGAAAAGAATAAATCAACTTAGAAAGTGCCTATAATAGCCTGTGATTTCCTTTCTAAATCATAGTAGCAATTTTATGTTGGTAAGGAATCAATTTTTGGGGGGAGAGGAGAATAGAACAAAAATCGGTGGGAATGTGATATACTTCCTACAAGGTGGCAGTAAAATATTTTCAATATAATTGCTTCCTTAGTCTCCCATTCTGTGTTCTCTCTCTGCTTGCTTTTCACTTGTGCATGGGTTTATTATGTATTTCTTTTTTAACCCTTCATCATTACCTTCATGATCATAGGCTCTATGGAAGATAGATTTTGAACCAAGTTGCTATGATTCAAGTTGTTACAGACATATGTGGACTTTTCACTGTTTAAGAAGAAATTCTATTTCCATTAGCATGCCCACAGTGGTGCAAATATAGACAGTTATGTTTACTAAAGCTCAAATCTAATGGGAGGACAGATTGGACCCAATATTTTTGCTGAATTTCACTCCCTTGCTAGTCCATGGGCACTGATTCTTAATGCTAGGCTCAAGTTATTTGACGTCTGTGTGAGCAAGCCTTAACTTTTAGAATAAAGGCCCATGTGATTTGTTTTCTTTTTGTTCGTTTGTTTGTTTGTTTTTCCCTGTGATTCAACCTCCTTGCCTCTGCTGTTCTCAGGCCAGTAAGACTTCTTACACCTTTGCCTACCTGTCGGTTCCCTCTGGAAAACTGCATTTTGTTTTCCATGTAGTAGAGTCCATTAATTTATAATACACCCTGTACCACTCTAAGATGCTTTTTTATAATATCTTAATCATGGCTCCATAGTAAACAGAAGCCAGAGGATGCTGCTTCTGAGCAAGATCTTCAAGACTGGGTCCAGTCCTTCCTACCAAGGCCAGGAAGACCAAGCAAGCCCACAAAACAGCTTAGGCTAGAACCCCTTTAGAATCACAGCCAGTCTCAGTCAATTCCATCATTAAGGAGGCAGCAGCAAGAATATTGTAGCATCCAGAGCACTGTATGCCCATGATGCCGTGGTTACTAGCCTCTTGGTCTTTAGTCTTGTTCTTTTAGTTTAAAGCTATCTTTTTTTTTTTTAAAAAATCAAGAATGCCCCTCTCCCAGCTTCATGCATGTAAGAAGCAGACAGTGTCTTCAAGATTACTAATGAATTTAGGAGAGAGTAAAGGACACAGGTATCCAAACTGTTACCAATCATTAAAACCACACTTTGAAGTTAGGTTATAAGGCCTAATATTTTCAGAATATTTACTGGAAATTGCTAGCTCTATAGACTTGAAAATAACAGCAACAATAGTAATTTCATGTTGTTCAACCTGACAACCATAATAAAAATCTGAATTTTTATAGTTGATGCAGGGCTGCTTTTGAACTTCGTGGCTAAATGATGACATTTTTTCAAGACAGGTTTATTAGCTCTAAATTACTAATGGAGAAAAATCTCAAAGGTTGATTAAATTCAGTGAAATCCCTTCTCCAAATGTGTGTATTTCCATGTAGAACTGGCCATGCTTCTAGGTCTGGAAGTTTGAACCCATGGGGTGTATATAATCTTGCCTTCTCTGGAATAAGATCAGTACATGCTGACTGTACTAGGCTTTTCTACCAGAGACTCCAGACTTCAGCTTCCAAACACAGAAGACTCAACGCTGAAGCTCTTAGTAATGAGTTGCTTTCCCCATGATGTGTGTTCTGGAATATTTTGTCATGAAGATACCAAATCTCACTGGTATACTACATTGTGAATTGAGGTGGGGGGGGCGATCGCTTTGTTCCTTTGAAAGCACTGAACAAATAGGATTCGAAAACCCAGTCTGGGAAACAGTTCCCAACAGTTCACCAGGTTGCACAACCTTTAACCAAATAAAAGGG